TGTCATGGTTAAATGTAAAAAAAGTACTTTCAACCGAAACCATGGAACAAACAAAGAGCAATATTAATATAAAATTGATGATTTATCAGTCTGTACACTAATACAGCAATTACATATCAATTGTTTAAAAGTGAATTCTTCAATAACGCTTCAAAAACTCCCATGAAAATGAACAGCATTATAGATGGGATACAAAATGGCACGTGAAACCTTAAAATCAAAACGTTGAATGGTCTAATTTGTGATAGACCACTCGCGGGAAAATCATAATAAATAAGTTATAAATTATTTTAAGGATATTTCAATTTGTTTTCATTATTTGACCGATTAGTATGTTTATACTAAAACAATTAGACCTCTCGGCCTCGTGGACTACGAGCTAATAGCCCATTCGGCCTCGCGGACTCGGCCTCATGGGCTATTAGCTCGTAGTCCACTCGACCTCGAGGTCTAATTGTTAATTATCAATCCCCTGGGACAAAATTATCATATTCAAATGACTATGAATAGAAGAATGACCAATTCTTTCTTTCAAGTCATCTATTTATTTGTTCATTCATTTAATGTTTATGTTATGGTATAAGCTCAGTGTCCGAAAAACCTTATTTTTATGTGACTTTTATTTTATCATTAGCATATGTAGATAAAAATAAAATAAATCCAAAATCTAATCTCCTTCATGGTAAGTAGCTTAAGATTTTTTAGTAATTACACGAGGAAGCAAAAAACATCGAAAACTGATTCTGAAATACTCAAACATTAAAAGCGTAGGGGGTGGAGGGGGTGGGGCCGCACGAGCAATGTTGACTACGAGCCCGCGATCACATGAGGAAGACCGCGCAGGAAGTGTGGAGGCCATCTTGCAGTACGATCATCCAGAATGGTACCGATTTTAAACCTATTTTATCCCTCTTTTTGATTCAATGTAAAGAGCAGATTTCCCCTTATTTTCTCTACAGAGCTTCTTCGGCTTTGGACAGTCTGCAGAGATCGATATTGTATTAAATGGCGCTGACAAGCGTAAACAAGTTGACATCAAAAACGAAGATGGCAAAAAAGAACGYTTGTACTTGTTTTACGACGGCGAAAGTGTAACGGGAAAGGTAAAAATTCACTGAAATAATCACAGTAGAGCCAGAATTACGATGCACTTGTGTAAAAATTGTCTTGCTGTCACAGCGATTCATTTTATATTTGTAAATAAAATTGCTATTCACCCATTCGACTTTGATCTTGAACGTTGTACAGTCTAGTGCAGAAAATCAATTTTGCTTCCTCGTGTAATTGCTAAAAAATCTTAAGCTACTTACCATGAAGGAGATTAGAYTTTGGATTTATTTTATTTTTATCTACATATGCTAATGATAAAATAAAAGTCACATAAAAATAAGGTTTCTGTAACTATTGTGGCGAGGACAAGAGATCGTCGAAACATTTCTAATGATGCTAAAGTCACTGATTACTCTCATGAATTTGAAGATTGCTTCCTAGCGAATGATCAGCGAGTAAAACCGCTTTCGAAAATTGCATTACTGTATCGGACATTGAAATCTCTTGAAGTCAATTCTTTTGATTCATTTATTTTTAACTTGAGTCATGGATTAATGTACCTTTCTTTCTACAGCATGGAAGTGTCAATGTGAAATGATAATTTTGGAGTTCATAATTTATTWAATGCTGGTGATCTAATGTTTATCATTTGACCACAGAATTCTGAAACAGCTGATTCTCTGTTGTTCTTTATTTTTTTTTTAAGACAAAAGCTAAGGTTTATGTTATTTCAAAATGTTTTAATTAAAAAACGAAAAAAAGTAGATATCATAAGCTGTTGTTTGAAGTGAGGATTGTCTGCCTTACCAGTAAGCACTTTACAAGCAACTGCCTTTATGAATAAATACAAGCAACATAGCTATGTAAAATGCATTATGCAAGATCAGATACTGTAAGTGACTAGGCGCAGTCTATGTTATTTTCAAGAAACCAATAAAAACARCTATCTATAATGATGTTATGGTCAAARCTTCTGCTATCCAAAATATTTGCTATCTTTTCCTTGATGGTCAGGTTGCACCCTTTTGTATATATTTAATAGTGAACTTACAGTTTGCAAACACTAGTCATTGCTTTAGTATAAATAATGAGTGGCAGTGCTTTATCAAGGATAAAATTGCGAGGGCAGCTAATCACATAAATACATGTGTTTTATTCGGTATAAAGGTTATGCATGTGACCGAATTGGTATAACCCAGTCTTATAGATCTTGAATTATTACATGTAGAGTTTTATAATGATAAATGCTTGTTTTCAAGGTCAATGTAAATCTCAAGAATCCTGGAAAGAARCTTGAGCATCAGGGAATTAAAATTGAGTTTATTGGACAAATTGGTAGGCTAATATTGATAAACAAATTAAAAATAAACAACAATATATTACAACATTCCAAGAAAAAATGTGTAAATRGAATTGTTACGATTCTGAAAATATTGATTCCGTTCTTGATTTCATTTTCAGAGCTCTTTTACGACCGTGGCAACCACCATGAGTTTACTTCCCTTGTTAGAGAGCTTGCTCGTCCCGGTGATCTCATGCAAAGTGAATCATACGATTTTGAGTTTGTAAATGTAGAGAAACCGTATGAGACATACACTGGTGCAAACGTTCGACTCAGGTAAAGTAAATTCCAATGCAATTAGTCAAGAAACTGCATAGTGTTTTTCCTTTAAATTACTATGAAAAAGAAAATACTTTTGCTAATTTGC